CCCAGCTTCGAGAAAGTGCATGGGGGACGTGGGGGTGGAGGTGGGAGCTTTAGGACTGGCCCTCGCGTTGGCCCTCATCCTGGCTTGAGATCCACATTGTCCGCTAACTCTTTTCTGCACGCGGACAATACGTGCTCGAGCGTCTGCTTAGCTCTGCATAGTGAACATGTCAAGTCGGTGGTCGAGCGACACGTAGTCATGTTGGTGCCAGACGGTAACACATCGTTAGCTACTCTTATGACAAAGCTCTGCTCCAGCGGGGCCATTCGTCAGATCTCACCCCATGCGAGTACTCGTGGCAAGGCGCTCTCGAGGCATATCTACTCGCCTTGCTGCGACTGTTGGACTGCTTTTTGGACCGCAATCTTGTTTTCGCAGTCCCTGATTTGCTGTGTTACAATGTATCTGCGTTCTTTGGCAGATGCTTGGGACCACCAATGACTTTTCCCTGCCCTAGACCGAGTCTGTCGATTTGTGTGTAACCCATGATCTCGCAATTTTAGTGCGTTTTTGAATAGATTATATCGCATCTTGGACCTTCCATTTTTTTTTTATTTTACCTTTCTTTAGAGCGGGCTGGACAGCTGTTACTGTGGTGTCTCCAGACTCGCGCCTCATCATCGCCAGTCTGACCTTGCCATGTTTAAATTCTTCGGTTATTGATTTGAACGGAAGTACCAGCTTAGCCTGATAACAAAAGAGAGCCACATTGGTCAGACAAGGTGGAGCTGCAAGCCACTTCCTCATAGTTGTGTTTATTATTTCTTTTTTTTTTTCATAGTCTCCACTGCAGTCATGCTTACCTCGTACACCAGCAGCCGCCAGAGGAGCTTGAGAATCAACATGAACTGGAGATACCACAATCCGAACTTTCCGATCAGCCTGCATTGCTTGTTAGCAAGCAGGCCTGTTGCCAGTGACTCGTGTATACGCCGGGCTTCTATCCTATCAGATAACTTTGAATCGTAGACGCGGCCGAGGCTCTTTACTGGCTCTTCTAGAGCCGTGAGGGATCTTTTTCTTTGTCACCGTTAAACTTGTCGCTGCCACTTTACCCTTCAGGGTGGATAGACTTCTGGACTTTTGAGGCTTGAAATTCACGCCACACCATTCAACCACGTGATCCAACCTCTCCAGATTAACACGGGCAAGATCTTCTTTGCCCTTGATGATAGCCTTATTATCTATAAATGCTCTCAGTGGCGACATCCAGTGGTCCCCAGTATAAAGGTGCTGACCGAGGCCGGCAGCCATATCAAACAAGATCTTCATGGCCATTACGAACAGTATTGGCGAAATCGTACACCCTCATTGCTATTCCCAAACCTGGGCTCAGTCCACCTCGTAGTAAACGTTAGGGTAGAAGAAGCGTATGGTGAACTTTAAGAAAAATTGCTCTATCATTTCGATTTCTGTCGGTACGTGGAATATGCGAAAGGGCCTACAACAATAGCTTATTGGGTACCGACCCATAGACGGCGAGGTACAACGATATCACGTGCAATTCGGTTCTCTCTGTCTTTGCTTTCTGGGTACACTCCCAGATGATGGTCACATGTTATAGACACCTGGGGACCCAAGGAATGCTTCCCTTTTGCACCGTTCTATCTATGTAATTTTTTTGTTATATATCAAATATTGTATGAGCCTGCGCGCCATCACAGTGAAGAATATTTTGCCCTCAACGTTCAACAGCGAGATGGACCTGAATTGGAATAGACTGGTAGAATCTCGCTCCTTGTGAATGTAGACTCCGTTGGCTCTCTGCCGCTCGGTATAAATGTACTTTTGGCTCCATGCTCTCCGTAGCGATCAGTGAAGCATTCGGAGGACTTTCGGACAACGTTTGTACAACGCGTACGGAAAACCTGGAGCAGATTTGCCGCTGGTTTTTTTTTTTTTTCACATCTTCTTCGACCTTAGACTATGAGGGAGGTATCGTTTTTAACTTTACCTTCGGCAACTCTGGCCACTTCAGGCCACTGGCGATCTCTGGGTTGTCATCGAGAGGTTCATACCTTGACGGATCGGAGAACATCTTCAGTAGATGCGACTCCAGTTTCTTTTTGCCGACAGCCAAAGACCCAGATTTTGGTTGCACGAACAGCCTGGGGCAAACTGGAAAGGGTCCGTAAAGAACATCTCTTGCTTCATTTTGGTTCTGCGTCTGTTCTTACAAAAACGCTCATCGCGACAAAGGGCGTTGTGTCTGGCCTTCAGGTGCAACCAGACCTCGTACAGTCCCTCCCGCTCGCTGCATGTAGCGTTTTTGAACCGTTTTTTTATTAAATGACTTGAATACGTTTTTGTGTGTGTGACTCTCCCGACACCAGTATGGCCCTAGGGAGACCTTCAGTTTTGCATACCTGATCTACCACATACGTATACCAGCAAGAATGTCGTCGCTCATCCATCCAGTTTTTCTCGCACTAAGTTTTACTTACCTTTATCTCCTTTGTTTTCAACGATTCTTTTCTTCAAGGAATTACCTACCTGTGAACCTGCTGAAACACCTCTGCCTTAGATACACCAAGGAACTCATCGTGTGAGTTCCAGGGTCCCATTATGGGGAAAACAAGAATAGACTCACTACCTACCCAAAAGCAGGTGGCAAGAGTCGACAAATTGAGAGCCTTCAGTATGTTCAGTTTGTCTCTGCCTTCTGCTTTTTTCGTTTTTGACGCCCGGCTGCGTTTTTCCTCGACTGTCCTGAACTCGTGGGTACAGTGAGAGTAAATTATATTACCAAACCGTGTTAGCTTGTCACCTAGAGACTTTTTCTTAAATTTATCAATAATAACCTTACAAAGAAGCTTGCACAATCAAGCTTGCAAAAACATCCTATCGCTTGAAGGGGGAAACTTGATCTTTCGTCCAGCACCTAGTCATAGATCCTCTAAAGTGCGCCTCCGTGATAGACGTCTTGGGTCATCTGGGCGAGTGGGGATCGCCTCCGTGATAGACGTCTTTGGTAATCTGGGCGAGTGGGGATCACCTTGCCCCTCGTTCCCTAACGACTTTTTAACTACAGGAGTAGCTGTGCGCCGGCGCTTACTACGTTGCTCACCTTCGCATTTCATCCTTCGGCGTGCGTTCTCAGACAATGCTTCCCCGTGAAATTTCTTTCACATGTACATATCCCTCCCGGTCGCTGGGCAGAAATCTCGTTCTAGGGACTGGCGAAATCGTTATCGTTGGCATCAACAGAAATGGGTCCTTTATTGTCCCTCCCTTTCAAAAGGCCCCAAAGGGCATATTTCGCTATAGGTAGCTTTTACACGAGTCTTTATCACCGAATAAAATAACCAGAATCCTATACCACAAGAAAAGAAATAATCACACGGAAGTCAACAATTTCTTTCTGGGAGAATTCAGCAATGTCTATGCTAACTTGTTCGTATCTTAGAGCAGCGCATTTGCAGTCTCATTGGACAGCATTGGAACAGAAGGCTTTAAAAGTATCAAGTAAAATATAAGGAGTTAGCATAACAAAAGAAGGGTATAGGGAAATTTAAACAGTAACTATTTCGGTAACAGCTTTTCTTTCCTTCTTCTTCATATTCACTAACTGAAAACTCAAGTGGAGAGTTCTCCCTTTTCTGATCTCTGAGTTCTGATGTTTCGTCCACTACTGAACTGTTGTCTTTATCTATAACTTAATACCCATTTTTTGCCGAAATTTACGGCGTGATTGTCAGGGGGCAGGGGGCTTCTCTTTTCCTCCCAAAATAGGGCATGGAACCCACATGGAGAGTTAAGTGTAAAGGACTCCTTTTCACGTCTACAGGCGTTCAGGGCATATAGGGCTCTAGACCTATATTTGTATAGACCAATCGGCACTTTACGCCGGCTGCCTTTACTTGCCAGGACTATACCTGGTACCCATTCCCGATTGAGTTGATCTGGGAGCCAAGATCTGTTTGGAGAAAAAAAAAAGTCAGGCTCCGCCAGAACCTCAGCTCACGGCCTTCCTATCCACATACGAGCGTCTAGCCGCTTCACCATCTCGACTCCCACGTGGAGAGTTACCAGCTTATATGTACTTTATTTCTTTATATATTGAAAGATACAAGTTTGAACTGGCAAATGTATTTGTCCAACAAAAACAATAACAAAATAGACGGAACGAGTTAAACTAACAATTTTCATAAATTGGGTTTAATGTAACATTTATCTTTGATACAAAAGGTCATAAATTTCTGCTGTCCTAGGACTAAGGGTGACTAATGAACGCATGGTGCGCTGTAGTATCGAAAGAGTTAAAAGTGGCCAAAGTGAGTTCACTGATATTGAAAGAGTGTATTCTTGGGGTGAAATTGATTGTTACCGAACGATGTTGTAATGTCGAACTCTTGATGTTTACAACTGTAACGATGTTTGCAGAAGCAGTAGCTGTATTTTTGTTTGTCTATCCTTTTCTTTTTAGAACTTCCGCATGTTTTATTTCTTCAAACAATAATTTTCTTCTGCTCAACACTTTTTCATGGGTTATTGTGTTTATTGTTTTATTGTATTTTATAACCTGCAGAAAAACGAAGATAAATCCTTGCAAAAATATCTGGCTGGTTAGATAAACTATTCACGTGACTTTTAAAAAAAAAAAAGCGATATTTCTCTCTGCACTCAAATCTTCACAGCGTGCATATTTGATTTGATCTGTTGCATTTTAAGAATCCTCTTTAAAAAAATCGCCTAAGATTGCTTAATCTTTCGTCATTTTTTCTCCCGTTTACACAATTTACAAATGAAGCTGTTCTCAAGCGGCTTACAATGTCCTGGGCACAAAATCGGCTTTGGGCACTCGTTTCGGCTCCTTAAGATGTCCTGTGCAGTTTGGAATTGCAGGAAGTTATACAAGCAAAGATTATTTATGCAGAATGCTTCGTCAGTGCTTGTTATTTCTGGTTCCTTGTTGGAGTAAAGCTGCAGACAAGAAGTTTCACGAGTCCAGCAGGTCTGCGGCCTTGTTGGAGTAAAGCTGGGACTGCAGGCAAGAAGTTTCATGAGTCTAGCAGGTCTGCGGCCTTATTTAATCTCTCAGGCTCTGAGGAACTGTGCTTTTTATGTTGTGGTGACTGAAAAGAAAACAAAGTCACGTGGTGACATGTAATTTTGTGTATACACAGAGAGAGAGAGAGAGAGAGAGAGAGAGAGAGAGAGAGAGAGAGAGAGTGAGTGAGAGAGAGAGAGAGAGAGAGAGAGAGAGAGAGAGAGAGAGAGAGATTGATTTGACTGCCCGGTTTCGCCCGGGATGATAAAAATGAAAATCTTATTTTTCCGTTCTCTACCTCATCTTGGTCGCCACCACTGCCCTTTATGTTGGTAAAGTAGAAATAAGGGTCTAACTAAAACCCTGATTGTTAATACCCCGTCTTCTATTTCATCTTTTTATCTACACCTGCAGTATCTTTAGTTAATACCCATAAGTTCAACCGAGACTTCTCCCTGTAATACTAACACTAGTATGTTCAAGTGTGTTGTCTTAGCCCCATATAGATATGTGGTTTCAGGGAAGTTAGCAGCGAAACACATTAAAAAAAAAATTATCTCTCTCTTGGAAAGTAACAGACATTTTTTTTCAAGGGGACACAACTACAGGGAAAGTTTATTTTACTGATGTCGCAATAAATAAAGAAATACACAATAACCTGGACCGCTGATGTCCCTACTAAATTGAACAATGCAGTCATAATGCCAACTGAAAATTTAACCCATGTATGTGGGACAGGTAGTGGGTCTATTTTTGTTTGACATTATAATGGCGCCCTGGAACCCACACGGGAGTTCCTTGATGTCTCTTAAAGCTAATGTGTTTTAGCAGGTTCAGAAGTAGTAAGTTCCGTTTAGACAAGAAATCGTTGAAAACGAAGCAGACCAAGGTAAAAAAAAAAAAACACACACACACACACAACTTAGTGAGAGAAAAGCTGGATGGATGAGCAACAACATTCAGGTATGCCAAACTGAAGGTCTCCCTAGGGCCATACTGGTGTCGAGAGAGTCAAACACGAAAAAATAATTGAAGTTATTTTAATAAAAAATTTTGCAGAATATGTCCTTTGTGAGGGCTGCAAGTGCGCTTGCAAAAGACCGCATGCGGCAAGCGGGCCGCCAGTCGGACATGCCTGTAGAAGACAATGGATGGGTGTGAATTATTTTATTGTCCCAGGCAGTTAATCGTGGCATTATCAACTACAAAGCTAGAAAGAAACATTACTTGCGTGCGTGCCCTTTGCAGCACGTTGCAGAACAAACCACATAATGTTTTTTTTTTAAATTTGTTTATTATTTCTCTATCCATAGGTTCAGTAGTTTTCCATTGTCAACTCAACGGCCGGTTCTCGATACCACTATTGATACCAATGCAAGTTGGTCTGCTTCCCAAATCGCCGCAGCCAGTACCGAACCGGACTCTAAGGAATTACAAGGCGTGTTCGCAGCGCCTATCCACACTCCACCAGAAAGCTGCATTACCATTAGTTAAAACTGTTGTCCGTTAAAAATTTAGTTATACTTCATTCGAATTTTCTTCTAGGTGAATCTGGGAAATCTTCTGGGAAATCACTAGAAGGTTGGGAGGGGAGAGGAGGAGGCAAAGACTCACCCACAAGTGGGCCTATGTTTCTTCACCCAAGAAACGTCATAAGAGACGTCTAATTAGGTTCCGACGCACAACACTCAAGACAGGATGAGACGGATATACAATCAGACAGTTACTGGTGCCATCGGAATTGGAACTCTTCGCTTGCTGCTAAAGATGGGGTTAGAGCACTTATGGGAGTGCCCCGATTGTTGTGATGTCGATTCTTAATTCAAAATTCAATAATCTTATTAGGTTTTGTCTTCTTCTGAAATCGGAATTGCAGAGCTGAATAGGGCAAAATTCGCAACCTAGCTGTAAATCACATCACAATGTTCCAACTGCCCTTTTGAGGGCGAACGCGAAAAAAGATCCTGGCTCTGACTTCGATGCAGCCTAAAAATGTTAGTTAGTTAGTTAGTTAGTTAGTTAGTTAGTTAGTTAGTTAGTTAGTTAGTTAGTTAGTTAGTTAGTTAGTTAGTTAGTTAGTTAGTTAGTTAGTTAGTTAGTTAGTTGGGTTATCATCATTGCACTCCGGACATGTCCATAGGTGCTCAGATCCTCCCCTCAGTATGAACCCCAACGTCCGATGGCTAATAGTACCAGTTCTATGTTGATTAACAAGTCTTCTGACGTGTCTGGTGTGCGTCTCGTTTTTTGCTGTGCCGATCTTAATTCCCAAGTCTGCCATTCTGGCGAGTGATGTGGATTCACTGCCACCGAAGTCCTCTATCATTCCCATTTCTCTGAGGGCATTGATAATATCAGCATGATCCATAGGCCGACCGTCGGTAGTGATAGCGGTAAATGATAGTGATAGCCTAAAAATGTGTGCCAGGAGATATGAAGGAAATTTAAAGTTATGACTGACTTAGTTGTCCTAAACCGATTGCGGGAATAATTATGCTTACATGTCGCTGTAGATCCTTGCAAAGTTCTCTGAACTCTGGTCTGTAGAGTGGTTCGTGGGCCCAACAATCCTCGATGAGGGTCTGCGGAAAACAAACTGTAGACATTAGTCAATGATGGTCGGTGGGGAATCTGCTGAACATAAAATCGTCACCTTGAACTAGCATCCCCGAAGGGGGAGCTTTAGGTTATATTTGTGACTAGGTGTTTGGCGCAATATAAAATAGCTTAGTCCTGAACGCTACCAAGAGCCCTGAAAAGGACTTCTGAAGTTTTGCTGCCGTCAAATGAGACAGGTCCAAATACAGTCCCGACCGGCAACAAAGTCGTCTACCGGCGAGCCAATGGGTGACCTGGTCGCCAATGATAAATTACCGGCGTCTTTACAATAAACTGTAAATGTGGGACAAGGTCGTGCTATTCTGAACGTTCAGATGTTTTTGATAGCTGTAGACGGGTTTCTCGCTTGGATGTTTAAACTGTAATTGATGCCAATGGTAGCAACAATATTTTATTTTAGGATACCGACTAAAGAGGACAAATTATTTCATAATGTTAACAAAAATGTATCAGAAATAAAAATAGCTGATCTTAGCTAACTTTAGTGTGCTAAAAGCGAAAATCACATAAAAAAATGTTGTTGGCCCTAGTTTTCAAAATATATGCTTTAGATTAATTAATTACGGTCTCTCTCTCTCTCTCTCTCTCTCTCTATATATATATATATATATATATATATATATATATATATATATATATATATATATATATATATATATGCATGCACATGACGTAACTGTTGTGTAAGATTGCATAATTGTTTTCTTTCTAAAAATCAATAAAAAAATACAAGAAGAAGTTGATGTTGTAAACCTAACTAAGTATAAATCGCCTTTGAGTACAAATCTGTTATCACTGATAAAAATATAGCCATTAGTTCGTGCAAAGAAGACACAAACAATAGACTGCACAATTTATTGCCTGGTATACTTCGTTGTATCTCGTCAGGTGCAGACGTAAATAACACTCATACGCGCCAGTTCATGAATTCAATTATCATAATAACATTCACTAAACACCACAGTTACTTTAAAAACAGTGACACTGCAGAAAATCAAAGACTGCGTGAAGCTAAAATATGTTGGAATAGACAGTTATGGTACATAACATCTGATGAGTCTTGACAAGTTCCAATCACGTTGTCCTAAAGCCTGTGATCCACAACCTTACTAACGCATTTAATAAAGTTCCCCATGTTGTGGCCACCCCCAACCATACAATTATTTTCGTTGCTACTTCATAACTTCAGTAAATGTATGTTTTCCGGTAGTCATATGCGACCCCTGTGAAATGGATGTTCTACCCCAAAAAAGGAGATCCACATTAGAATTGTGAGACCATGCATCTTCCCTATGGCAACATAGAATGTGAGGCGTGGACTATCTCCCAGTCCTTAAGAAAGAGATTAGGGGCATTTGAGCTGAAATGCTATAGAAAGATTCTCAGAATATCTAGGACAAAGAAGAGGAGAAATATTGACATCTGGAAAGATCAGAACATCAAGGAAGATTGGCTAATAAACAGCATCCTGTCTCGGAAGTTGAAATATTTTGGTCATATCAAGCGCCATGGCGGTCGGGAAAAAATAATAGCAGAAGTCATGGTACCAGGAAGGAGGGGCAGGGGCCGACAAACACGAAGATGGGCACAGTATTTAAGTGACTCCTTGAGTATGAAAGTACATGAGACGGGAGAGCTGGCGAGAGATTGAGTTTCTTTCAGGCAGACCGTGATGAGAGCGACGTTCTGCAAATGACCTGCGACATGAGGATGATAATGACCCCAAAAAAGGTTCGCGAACCACAGGTTGAGAACCACTGTCCTAGTGGTATCCAGTTTACCTGTTTCACTATTTGTAAAAAAAATACTTTAATCTAGAATATACTTCTGCCTGATAATCTTTAACAAAAGCGAATAACTTTTATATATTGAGGTCGTTTCCAGTTCTCGGGACATGCGATCGACTAATACATGAACGGTGTGTTTGCTGTCACACCCTCTCTGATGAGTTACAGATGGGTACATGATATCGCGGGCGGTCACTGATACGATACAAATATGTATGCAATGGGGCATGAACGATACATGTATTGAGTTGGATTCATTGAAGTAGAATGTCATAGATGGATAGAGGGGAGAAAAAATTAAAGTAATAAGGATAAATCAGCAAATTATTGTACATACGTTAAAAGCTGAGCATATGCGACACAGCACGTTAAATATACCTTAAGAAATGAGCGTATGAGAGAAAGCACGTTGAATATACTTTACGATCTCGAGCGTATGAGAGAAAGCACGTTAAATATACCCGAAGAGCTGAGCGTAAGAGAGAAAGCACGTTAACCATACATTACATACACTGATTACCTTAATTGCGGTACTGCACTTCAACGAGTGTAGACCCTGTCTGTGTCCAGCACTGATTTGCCAGATAATCTTTTCTGGTATCATTTCGTGGAAAGGAAAGCGTCCAGCGAAAACTTCGTACATGATGGTCCTTGCATGAAAAGAAAACATGGTTAAGCAAATGTTTTGGCCAAAGTTCTTTGTGTGCACCAACAGCAGGGAGTAACTGTCTTTGGTTTGTGTTGTAGAATAATATAATGGAGCCAATAGTTGAAAATTAAAAGAGAACGAAAGAGAATAATTAGATGAAACTATTACAAGCATAGGCAACCTTGAACAAAACGAAATAAGCACAATTCCAATTATTGAAGGCAGAAAAGAGGACTATATATACGTATATTTATGACGTATATATGCTGGAGTGCTGGAGGTCACAGGGTTCACGCCCCGGTGAAGGCTGGGATTTTTGTCACCTGGACTTCTTATAATTTCCCCTGGTCTCTGGGTAGTAAGATCGGACGCTTGTGTGTATTGTTGTGCACGTAAAAATATCCCTCGGTAGTTGGGAATCGAAAAGAGAAGCCTAACGAATGTCATCACTTCTGTTTCGTCTACATTGATCTTCATATCTTAGTTGTCGCATTCGGAACGGAGTCTGTTGATATGTTCTTGTAGTTGTACTGTTTTTGGTGCTATGACTGCCTGGTCATCGGCGAAAAGAAATCCATTTAGTATCCTCTTCACCAGTGTTAACTGATCTGTAAATATGGACAACATACCAGTTTTATGTGACGAACATGGGTGGTGATACAACACAACCCTGTCACTTCAGTAGAAATTCTCTTACATTCCTATGTGTGTTATGTTATGCATTGACTGTTTACGTGTAAACGCATGCACAGGTTTAATAAGATGTTCGTTTACTCCGTAATCGTGTAGTACCTTCCATAATTTATTCCTATTAATTCGATCGAGAGCTTTCTTTCGATCTACGAATGCGACGTGTAATTCTTTATTACCTTCTACAGTCCTTTCCATTAACTAAGTGTAAATATGGCGAGTACAGCTTCTAACCCATTCACCCTTAACTAAGTTGTGTTTCTATGATAGGACATAACTCTTCTAACGCATCTAACAAAATATTTCTCGCTGTGGCTCAATAATGAAACTTCTCGATATTTCTCAGTCTTTATTGTTGCCTTTTGTGTGTGTGTATGTGTGTGTGTGTGTGTGTGTGTGTGTGTGTGTGTGTGTGTGTGTGTGTGTGTGTGTGTGTGTGTGTTGAGGATTGGGTACTATTACTGCGTTTCTCCAGTCCTCCTGTCTTCTATCCTGTGCAATTGTTTTAATGTCATAGATGGAATTCGATCAAGCACCTTTGACCTCCTTCATCAATATTCGACTTATGGTTTCTTTTGCATGTCTTAGTTTCCTCAATCCATTTTTTCCCCCATTAAAGTGTCTATTGTGATTCTCTGTTGGTTTCTCTTCAGGAAAAATATACTGTCACCTGCTACAGTTTGTTTGTCTAGACCAATCGGCACAAGATGGGTGTTGTGGTCAGCATCACGCCAGCCGCCTTTACTTCCTGAGACTGCACCCGGTACCCTATCAAGGCTGGGTCGATCTGTGAGTCAATGTCATGTTTTGAAAAAAAAAGTCCGGCTCTGCCAGGGAGCCAACCCACGACCTTCTGATCCGCACGCGAGCGCCTAGCCGCTAACGCCACGGCGACTCCTTTTTATAAAATAATGTATTTAAAATAAGTATTTTTTCCTAACTGATCGAAGCTATGCTATACAAAGATACACAAACGAGACCCGAAAGATACCAACATTGACACAGACACCTCGGAGAGATCAGCTGCAGATCAACTCATGTCGAGGCAGACACTTTTTAAGAGGCCAAACACAGGAATCTATAGAGAGGAAAAACGACGTTTGGAATCTCTGTAAAATATAGAGAGTATCAACGTTCTGTGTGGAGTGTGTGGCAGATACTGCCACTGCTGCGTCGAACTTTGTAGCCCAGTGGTCTCCAACCTGAGCTAGGAGGTTTCAAGGACAGCAACCTCAAGCAATTTTGAAAGTGAGAACATATGTATTTGTTACAATCCATTATACTAACATTTTGCTTTAGTGTAATTAGAAATAAAATATTTTAAAGACTATTTATTTAAGAAAACGACAAGAAAGTTTTTGTTTGCACCAGGCAATGATAAGTTCACGAGTTTGCCATTGTTTTTTAAACGGTCGGCTCTGGACACCCCTGTCTAAATAAACGCAAGGCGGTCTGCTGAGAAATCGTACGCAGCAGGAATTGAACCGGGTATCTCGGATTTACGAAGCACCAAAGCCACAGACGCTGGCCTTGTGAGAGGACAGAACTATTATGTGACACACATGCTGATATCACACACACACATAAACAAGCTCACACACTCTCACACACACTCACATACATACTCACACACACACTCACACTCTACTCACACTCACATACATACTCACACACACACTCACACTCTACTCACACTCACACAATCACTTACAAATTCAAACACGCACTCACACGCACTCACACACGCACTCACACACACACTCATACACACACTCTCTCTCTCTCTCTCTCACACTCACACACACACTCATTGACACGAACACTCACACACTTACCCACACCCGCTCTCACACACTTACACTGGCAAATACATGCACACACTCATACACACACACACAAAACACACATCACATCGTATCACACACACACACCACACTTCTAGATACGTTACATGTTTACTTACCCAAAGGCAAACACGTCGGTCTCTGGAGAGTAGGCCGAGAATGGAACCAGCCTTGGCGGAATGATACGAATCGTGCACATAATTTCTGGAGCGATGTAAGTGAGGTGACCCCGAGGAATACTTCCATAATTAGGCCTGTCGAGCATTGTAACACAATATATGAGTTTAAAACTGGTAAACGACCATTTTCGCGCATTTGATTCTAGACTACATATCTGTTAGACAAATTAGTTCCAAATGAGTGCTGTGATCAAAATATAGTCGGCTAAATTTACCTCTAAGGACACTTATTATATCATCATCATGTAGTAGGTCCTTTGCAGAATGTCGCTCTCATCATGGTCTGCCTGAAAAAAAAAACTGTCTCTCGCCAGCTCTCCCGCATCGTGTACTTTCATACTCAAGGAGTCACTTTTATCCTGTGCCCATCTTCGTTTTGGTCGGCCCTTGCCTCTCCTTCTAGGTACCACGCCTTCTGCTATTATTATTTCCAATCTGCCGTGGCGCTTGATATGACCAAAATATTTCAACTTCCGAAACAGGATGCTGTTTATTAGCCAATCTTCCTTGATGTTCAGATCTTTCAAGATGTCAGTATTTCTCCTCTTCTTTTTCCAAGAGATTCTGAGAATCTTTCTGTAGCATTTCAGTTCAAAAGTCCCTATTCTCTTTCTCAAGGCCTGGGAGATAGTCCACGTCTCACATTCGTATGTTGCTACAGGGAAGATGCATGCTCTCAAAATTCTAATTTTTATCTCCTTGCTGGTGCTTAACCATAGACTTTTAATGCTGTTTAATCTATGGGTAGAGCTAAGGGTCACAGACTGAAAAGAGGAAGGCCTTGGATGGCACAATCAGACTTGATAAATTTGTACGAAGTGTAAAGTGGGTCGAAGTGTCTGAGCAAGCTTCGCACTTGTGTATGGTTCTTAATACGTTAGGTCGTGAGTGCAGGGACTGGCCAGCTGGCGCTGCAGAATCAGAAGTTCAATAAAGGATACATGACAATTCCTACTGACGTTATGTGATTATCTATACAAAAGGCTCTGTGTTGGGGGAGGGAGGGAGGGGGGGACGAAGTGCATGGGGGTTAATAGCAAAAGACGAATAGACGTCGCTTGGTGCAACAAAGCCTGGCATATGATATCACAACGTCTAATTTGAAAATGGAGGGGGAGGCAGAGACTGCTACATTCCACTGGCTTGAAAATAAGCTGTACAAACATGCAAGCTGATAAAGGTGGAAACAGGTATGCTGCGTGCAGAGTTGCAAGCATCACTCCAGAGTTCTCGGGTAGTTAGCATTCTTTGGATATTCTCTCCATATCACGCTGTTGTGTTGGGAAATGAGCATGCAGATAGACTAGAAGGTTCTGCATCACTTGGTAGTGAAGTGATGATGACAAGCTAGATATTGTGGGGGCCCTCTGGGAGCCAGTGAACAGTGCAGATGCGCAGTTAGATCATTGCGGTATGGAGAGAATGGCGCTGCGAGGAGTCACAAGGGGATCTGGCCGATGCTCAACACTCAAGGGAAAGGCGAAGCGGTAACAATTAGAGAGTTACTGGTGGCATTGACACTGGAACTCTTTGTTCGCTGCTGAAGATGGAGACGGAGCGCTTAAGAGAGTGTCCCCAGTGCTATGATGTCGATTCTTAATTCAACATTCAGATGCTGTACCAGTTGCTCGTGTTGTTTTAGTAGCTGTTATGGCTGTTATTCCCCGATTTGGACCTAAGTTGCTACCGCGATCTTGACCAGGCTTCTTCAAACCTGTTCTGTACGTCGCCTTCAACTGGAATGGTGAACCGATTGAGGAAACAAGGCGTCCAAGAGAAGTGATGAGATGAACGCCAGTCATGAGATGAACGCCAGTCATGAGATGAACGCCAGTCATGAGATGAACGCCAGTCATGAGATGAACGCCAGTCATGAAATGAACGCCAGTCATGAGATAAAGAGCCAGTCATGAGATGAACGCCAGTCATGAGATGAAATGAACGCCAGTCATGAGAAAAAGAGCCAGTCATGAGATGAACGCCAGTCATGAGATAAAGAGCCAGTCATGAGATGAACGCCAGTCATGAGATAAAGAGCCAGTCATGAGATGAACGCCAGTCATGAGATGAATGCCAGTCATGAGAGGAACGCCAGTCATGAGATGAAAGCCAGTCATGAGATGAAAGCCAGTCATGAGATGAACGCCAGTCATAAGATGAAAGCCAGTCATGAGATGAAAGCCAGTCATGAGATGAGCGCCAGTCATGAGATGAAAGCCTGTCATGAGATGAACGCCAGTCATGAGATGAACGCCAGTCATTAGATGAACGCCAGTCATTAGATGAACGCCAGTCATGAGATGAACGCCAGTCATTAGATGAAGAGCCAGTCATGAGATGAAGATGTCTGGTCTGGTAGTCTTAGTTTCAGCTTCATAGCAAACGGGTTGCCCCATCTTTGCTCCGCTCCTGTGCCAGCGAAAAACACCCAGAATGTTTATCACAGTCCCTTGTGGAAAGATTGACAGACTGCTGTCTCAGCATATCTAGCATACACTCGCATTAAAGCATATGGTAGCCATCCGAAGTGCTAACACAAACAGTCCAAAATTAGAAATGCAGTTCATCATTGATGATAGCAGAACTTGTCGTCAACAGATCAGCAGTTGTCCGCGTGATCAATTTTAATACGGGTCTGAGATGAAGAGCCAGTCATGAGATGAAGAGCCAGTCATGAGATGAAGAGCCAGTCATGAGATGAAGAGCCTGTCATGAGATGAAGAGCAGGTCATGAGATGAAGAGCCAGTCGTGAGATAAGCGCCAGTCATGAGATGAGCGCCAGTCATGAGATGAAGAGCCAGTCATGAGATGAGCGCCAGTCATGAGATAAAGAGCCAGTCGTGAGATGAGCGCCAGTCATAAGATGAAGAGCCAGTCATGAGATGAAGAGCCAGTCATGAGATGAGCGCCAGTCATGAGATGAAGAGCCAGTCATGAGATGAGAGCCAGTCATGAGATGAAGAGCCAGTCATGAGATGAGCGCCAGTCATGAGATGAGCGCCAGTCATGAGATGAGCGCCAGTCATGAGATGAAGAGCCAGTCATGAGATGAGCGCCAGTCATGAGATGAAGAGCCAGTCATGAGATGAGCGCCAGTCATGAGATGAAGAGCCAGTCATGAGATGAGCGTCAGTCATGAGATGAGAGCCAGTCATGAGATGAGCGCCAGTCATGAGATGAACGCCAGTCATGAGATGAACGCCAGTCATGAGATAAGCGCCAGTCATGAGATGAGCGCCAGTCATGAGATGAAGAGCCAGTCATGAGATGAAGAGCCAGTCATGAGATGAGCGCCAGTCATGAGATGAGCGCCAGTCATGAGATGAAGAGCCAGTCATGAGATGAAGAGCCAGTCATGAGATGAAGAGCCAGTCATGAGATGAAGAGCCAGTCATGAGATGAAGAGCCAGTCATGAGATGAGCGCCAGTCATGAAATGAAGAGCCAGTCATGAGATGAACGCCAGTCATGAGATGAACGCCAGTCATGAGATGAAGAGCCAGTCATGAGATGAGCGCCAGTCATGAGATAAAGAGTCAGTCATGAGATGAGAGCCAGTCATGAGATGAAGAGCCAGTCATGATGTCAAGGAATGACCCGCCACTACACATAGTCGTCGAGTCGGGACCTGGTATTCCCTCCCCCCCCCCCTCCCCCCTCTCCGCTCGACAAAAATTTCAAACTTAGAGCCGTCCGGAAAGGTATATAGTTCCTTATATTGATCTATACCTTTATCGGGTAAAATAATAATTACTAGACCTTCTAGTTGCTTTGACTTATCGTCATTTTTAAATTTGCAACTGTAGGTTGACGATGTCTAGGGTTTTATTTGAATATTCATAGAAACCGGTTTACTCCTTGCTCATGTATACAAGGAACTTCTTTTCTACTGACGCCAAGCTTAAGTTAGAGCTGGCATTCTTCTGCCTGCATTCCTAGAGATCAGATGTGTACATCGGTGCCTCATAATTTATACTTTGAGAAGGCGGCCTGTAGTGTCCAGGACATTTCCTAAGCTTGGGATGAAACCTCTGTAAAGAGCAGGCAGATTAATCACAGTCCTACCAACATCCACCAACCAACTATCCACCAGCTAACACCAGTGAATGTACCTGGCATCATCAGGTTGTGCCATATACACCACCACCTTAACATGGCCAGAGCGTGTGAGTGAGCTCCAGGGTAGGTGAACATTTGCAGAGATTGTATCCACAATCGAGTGTACCAGTCTTCAGGAGCTTGGTTGAGCTCCGAGACAGCTTTGTGACCTGACCTGTGAGAGAAACTTGTTGAGTCCCTATACAGTTTCTGTGTCCTCGATGGGGAGGTACTCCTCGGTACCAGATCTACTTGAAGCAGAACTACCAGAGTCAACTACAGTGAATCACCAGGAACTGAGGGGAGCATCAACAATAGAACTCTGATAAGTGCCAGTTTTTGTTTTGTTATCATGCTCTATTCCCCACAGCTCCACAGTATTCCAAGGATGACACTGTTTTGCTAGTCAAGACCATCTGGCTGTTTCAATATCTGAGTCCTGATCCTAGAAACATTCTGGAACATTATTCTTTTTTTGTGTGTAAATAATTGACACTTATTACATACATTCATTTTCATGGCTGACTTAGGGGTCCCTATTTCACCTTTCTAATTGTTTAGCATTGATGTGTGTATGAATAATAATTGTTATATGTGTTAACATGGTTATGATAGTAGACTATCATAACCTGGGGGCTATCTTTTTATAGTAGTGGGGGTGTCCAGCCAAGTGTGCCTATGATATATATATATATATATATATATATATATATATATATATATATATATATATATAATATATATATATATATATATATATATATATATATATATATATATTGTAGTGCCAAAACTTGGATTGCCCTACTCCAGAAATAAGTTGAGCGTATATTGGCCACGGGGCATCCTTAGACCAATACGAGCCAAACGACTCAACATAATTATTTCTGAGTGCTGTTAGTTCTTAAGGAGAAATCAGGCACGTGACATGAGTGATATGTGACACATGAGATGAACGCCAGTCATGAGATGAACACCAGTCATGAGATGAACGCCAGCCATGAGATGAACGCCAGTCATGAGATGAACGCCAGTCATGATATGAAGAGCCTGTCATGATATGAAGAGCCTGTCATGAGATGAAGAGCCTGTCATGAGATGAAGAGCCTGTCATGAGATGAAGAGCCAGTCATGAAATGAGCGCCAGTCATGAGATGAACGCCAGTCATGAGATGAGCGCCAGTCATGAGATGAGCGCCAGTCATGAGATGAGCGCCAGTCATGAGATGAGCGCCAGTCATGAGATAAAGAGCCAGTCATGAGATGAGCGCCAGTCATGAGATGAAGAGCCAGTCATGAGATGAGCGCCAGTCATGAGATAAAGAGCCAGTCATGAGATGAACGCCAGTCATGAGATGAAGAGCCAGTCATGAGATGAAGAGCCTGTCATGAGATGAAGAGCCAGTCATGAGATGAAGAGCCAGTCATGAGATGAGCGCCAGTCATGAGATGAAGAGCCAGTCATGAGATGAGCGCGTCATGAGATGAGCGCCAGTCATGAGATGAGCGCCAGTCATGAGATGAGCGCCAGTCATGAGATGAAGAGCCAGTCATGAGATAAAGAGCCTGTCATGAGATGAAGAGCCAGTCATGAGATGTAGAGCCAGTCATGAGATGAGCGCCAGTCATAAGATGAAGAGCCAGTCAATAGATGAAGAGCCAGTCATGAGATGAGCGCCAGTCATGAGATGAGCGCCAGTCATGAGATGAGCGCCAGTCATGAGATGAAGAGCCTGTCATGAGATAAAGAGCCTGTCATGAGATGAAGAGCCTGTCATGAGATGAAGAGCCTGTCATGAGATGAAGAGCCTGTCATGAGATGAAGAGCCTGTCATGAGATGAAGAGCCTGTCATGAGATGAAGAGCCTGTCATGAGATGAAGAGCCAGTCATGAGATGAAGAGCCAGTCATGAGATGAAGAGCCAGTCATGAGATGAACGCCAGTCATGAGATGAACGCCAGTCATGAGATGAGCGCCAGTCATGAGATGAGCGCAGTCTTGAGATGAAGAGCCAGTCATGAGATGAGCGTCAGTCATGAGATGAAGAGCCAGTCATGAGATGAGCGCCAGTCATGAGATGAAGAGCCTGTCATGAGATGAAGAGCCTGTCATGAGATGAAGAGCCTGTCATGAGATGAAGAGCCAGTCATGAGATGTAGAGCCAGTCATGAGATGAGCGCCAGTCATGAGATGAAGAGCCAGTCAATAGATGAAGAGCCAGTCATGAGATGAAGAGCCAGTCATGAGATGAAGAGCCAGTCAATAGATGAAGAGCCTGTCATGAGATGAAGAGCCTGTCAATAGATGAAGAGCCTGTCATGAGATGAGCGCCAGTCATGAGATGAGCGCCAGTCATGAGTGATGCCAAAAGTCATGAACTAGATTCCTTCCATTGTTTCGAAAAGAAAACACAGAGTAAAGCACCAAACGGCAGAAAAGACTACCATCCCTTTATGAGGACAACAGCACAAAAGGATAGTGACGATGATGATGATTGTAATCATGTGACAACTGCCAATAATTATTTATCTTAGTAATCATCTGAGTACTTTTAATAATTATAGGTAAAGGTGAGTGATTCGATTTCATTACACATAGTTTTATCCCATATGGCGCAGTCTCTCTCCACAGAACAGCTAGCTGCCCGCCCAAGAGCGCCGCACAGAGCACAACCTCTGTAGTTCTAGTGACGATCCCCAAAAATCTCCTCAAAAATTGCACTTGTGAACTGAACAGTGCCGACGTTAAACGAACCTACGACCTTCAGAGCTGGAGGCAAACGAACTTGACTACTTTGCCACGGAGACCCTCTTTTTATTAACAACAACAACAAAAACAACAACACTAATAACAACACTGGTCTGGTCATATACTTGTAATCATTTATCATAGTAATGTAGCGATCACCGTCAGAAAACCAAGTATATGAACTCGCACAAGCGCTCTACCAATTGACTAGCAAACTTGCGTATTGATCCTGCCCCATTAAAAGACAATATAATGTTACTGAAGTCTACAAAGAAGTCTAGACAGAACCTCCAGTTAAACCTGGGACTATTTACGGCAGACAAAGTAATGATGCAAAGTTAACAATACTTCAACAAAGATCAGACATCGCACGTGCTGTTGCCCAATAGAAAGCGTATATAACCAGGGTTTCAATACAACAGACATCAAAATAAATGGCATTATACACTCCTTTTCTTACTGCAGTTGACTTCTTCGGTACGAAGGTGCCGTGTCTGTTGAAGGTGTGTTAAGGTCTGGAAACTCCTATTAATCCTTTTTAAACACTAGGCTTAAATAAGGCAGCGGTACTGATACAGCAGCAGTAGTTTAAACAGAAAACATAAATTTTTTTTAACAGCTCACAGCAACAGACATAGCAAACACAACAACACACGTGGCAACAACAACAACAACAACAACAACAACAGACATGGCGAAAACAACAATGCACATCGCAACAACAACTCACCTGTCAGTAGCAACTTCCGGAAAGCCAAAGTCCATTGCACTGACCTTGACTTTGTGACCAATGAAGACGTTTTTGGTGTTCAGTTTTCTGAGCACAATATCCTTAGCGTGAAGGTAACCCATCCCCAAAGCGATCTGTCTAAGAATGGCCACTTTTGTATGAATTGTTGTCTTCTCCTTCTGAACATGAATCAGTTCGAACAAGGATTTACTCTGTGGGTTGCTGTGCGTACAAAAATCACGGATTAATTGTTTGGTGTATAATCAAGAGGGAGGATTCATGTTTTTAGACTATAGAAGAGCGTATTTTTCAGGCTTGTGATCAAAGCAGAACTTTAGGCTAAGATTTCTGGCCCTTTGTAACCCTAATTAGAGACTATGGAGAGATGATCGTTTCTCTACATTTTGGCTAAGATCATTCTAGACAAAACAAATACCAAACGCCAAACGCGCAAAACAATCAGGCCATCTCCTCGGGCCATCTCAGTTGTCTTGGTGTCGAATTTATTGTTCACGATTATTAGTAATGCCAAGCTCATTTTTGGACCCATCAAAGATGCAAACAGTGGTAAATGGAGAGTGAGAAGCAACAACGAAGTTCATAACATGTTTAAATCACCACTGATCACTGGCATCATGAGAGCTAATAGACTGAAATAGTTGGGGCATATTAAAAGAATGTCAGATGACAGAGAAGTAAAAACTGTATACACGAGAGAGATAAATGGTGGTAGACCAAGAGGCAGACCAAAAAGACAGCGGAGAGATAATGTCCAGACAAACCTGCAAACACTGGGTGTTACCAACTGGAAAGAGATGGTCAACCATTTATCTCTGGAGGCGGGTGATATCTGCAGCAATGAACCTCGAGGGCTTGGAATGCTGTAGAAGAAGAAGAAGAAGAAGCCCATTTTGCCTGGACAGACACAGCTCCATTCAAATGTGTGAGGGTCTCAATACGATTACTTGCAGGAAAGAAAGAAAAAAAATTAAGCGGTTTACAGGACTGTGGCAAATTGAGCTGAAAACAAAATAAAAACTAACTCACGTCAATATTGGGGCGTGAAAAAAATAATTAAAGACTAACCTATGTAGATTTAAAAGTACTGAAACCAAGTTGAAGATTAACGTATGTAGATTTGAACGCACTGAAAACAAACTAAAGAGGTAGATTTAAAGGCATTGAAAACTTATTTAAGACTAACATATGTAGATTTGAAGGCACTGAAAATGGATTAAAGACTAACGTATGTAGATCTGAAGTCATTGAAAACAGTTACTTACCAGGTCACCACTGCTAGGTTGGGCTGACTAGTACATGCTGCCATGAACAGAATAATATTCTCGTGCCGAATCCGGCACAGTTTGTTCAGATTGGCCCAAAAGGCGTCTTTGTCCTTCTGTCTCAGCTTTCCGAATACATGAACAATGACGTCACCATGATAGCGCCCTCTGTTGGAAAATATAAGTAAAATAAAGGCGCTTTCTCACTCAAATCGTACATTTGGCATATATTGATAGACAAGATTTTTGTTATAGAGTAATGAGAACTCCATAGGTCTTGTGGTACTGCCTATACTTCCCATTACGTTTCCCGATACTCATTTTCAGCATTCCTGTGTGGATTCTGGTCCCCATTGTGAGAGAAAAAAGAATAGACCTATTGCTTCCTAAACACACAGTCGTAAGAGTCGACTAATTAGAGGTTTCCTTCGAAGTCGAAGTGCATCTGCCTGCGATTCAAGGAACTACAGTCTGTAAATAAACCAGATCTCTTAAAACTGATGGGAAGGCAAAACTCAAGTTCTGGGACATAACTAAGGTCTAGAAATATTTGAATAACTAGAATGTCAGACAGAGTTTACAGTCAGTGAACTCGAAGAAGAAGATTTTCAGCTGGAACCATCTGGAAGATCAGGTCGGTTATTAAAAGTTTGTCTCAATGCGAATTGGAAACCAGGGTCTTCGGGATAGATAGCTGGATAGCCAACCAACGCGTGACAAGGCTCCTGTTGGAAAACATATTTGATTTAAGAGTTTTACTGGGAAGATATTACTGTCCAAGGGACACATAAAATATATATTAACATTACAGAACACAATAAAATAAAATATAAAACAAGGAACATGTCTGTGACAAGCCTTTATCGACAAACAAGAAGAAAAAAAAAACACTCACATACACATTAGAGCAGGATTAAAACCTTCTGATGCTCTAAGCACTCAACAGATGACGCCTCCCCCGCCCCTCCTCCGCCTCCCCTTTTTCACAACAGCCGTCTGAAAATCATAATAGCTCCTTGCGTAAACCAGTAAGCGGAGGCTCCTACGACAAGCGCTCACAAGAATTAAATGTGATTGGTCACTTAATATACAAATCATAGCATGGGTCTCTAGGCTCATGGAGCCACAACTATAAGACCACTATGGTCACACGCGACAAAAAATTCACATTTCGGAACAATCCAAAATCAAAAACTGTTTTCAGTACTTTTAGGCAAAATAAAATACTCAAAATTTTAAAACTATAAATGGTGGTCCAAAGGGCGTTGTGTGGAAAAGCTCCCTCTCCTACGGGATACGCCTGGCCAAATCAGATAGAGATGACACCAAGAGGAGACACCAGGTAAGAAGAAGAAAGAAACGAACAGCTAACAACAGGGTGCAGGACGAGTGGTCGGAACCGGATGGAAGCATTAAGCCCAGAAATGGCGCAATACTAGAATTGAGTCACGAAAGTGACGCAACTAACCCAGACCACAAATATAGGCGGAGACTGTTAGCAGCCTCTGCTAGCTAGCAGCAGTCTGAAAGTGGTCGACCTTTTCATTTTTCTCAAAAGGACTTGGACTTGGTCTTGCTCGTGGAGCAACAGAGATAAGACATCCAGGAAGCCTTGTTGCATTGTTGTTCTGGTGGGATTTTTTTAAATACTTCAACCGAGAAAATAAACTCCCAGCTCCCAGGCATTTGAAAATTGACTTTGTGCCCCCTCTCTTTGTGATGCCCTAAGCATATATTTAGTGAGCTTAATGCTTAAGCCGACTCTGTGCAAAAAAAAATGTCACTGCATTAAGTATATTACCGTAACATTGAGATACTTTCACAGTAACATTAGTCTTGGCAAATATTTAACAGAGATAGAAGGTAAACATAAAGGAATAGATTGATTTAATAAGTGTTTGATACTGAGGAGTATATATAAAAACCAGGATATGTTAGATGAACGTACTGTCTGAGGTAGAAATGTAACAATAGTGGAATCAAACAAACTTGAAGAGACTAGGCCAGCTATTAGATTGAAAATGGTTCTTCACTTTTTTTTATTGCTAACACACAATTCGAGGCCAAATTGGACATACTTGTATAATTTGCACCGACGACCTTGTCGGCTCAGCTCGCCAAGGTGAAGATCATCGTAGTTTATGGAGAAATCCTTTAAGGAAGACTTGCCCCGGAGACCAAACCTGCAAGGTGTTGAAAAACGTCAAATACCTGCTACATCGCCAGACAATGTATGCACACTTCAGCAAATTGGAAATCTGAATAAACTTGTACTACTAAATGTATACAGGCATCACGGGTTGAATCACGACCGGAGTTTAGCTGACGGGCCGTGCTGCTGACGTCACTGGGTCGGGCTAACAATGCGTTAACGCAGCGGTTCTCAAACTGGGTGACGAGGCACCCCGGGGTACCATGAGCGATTGCCAGAAGTGCTGGGGCAATAATCAAGAAAAGTCAGCTAAAAATTGTGAAATTATTAAAGAAGGCATCTAGATACTTAAAAGTTAAAATTTGAGTTGTCTTCGCTCGCCAATATCGAAAAATAGTTTATTTCTTGTTTGAGAACCGCTGCGTTAACACATAGTTAGCCCGACCCGGTGACGTCAGCAGCATGGCCTGTCAGCTGGAGCCGTGAGCTCTTTAGATGCATGAGCGCCTACGCCAGTTGGCAGGGCACATGCTGATGATGATACACACACACATACACACATAAATACATACAAAAGCACACTTAGTAAAAGCTAACACCAATTGCTGCCAGAAAAATAAAGATTTATCAAATGATACATAGTGGGCGTGCGGGCTGCATACAGGCTGGCAGACAGGTGTGTGTATGTGTATGTGTGTGTGTATGCGTGTGTATATGTGTGTGACATTCAACCCCACGGACCGTACAACAAGCGACCAATACACGGTGACACAAACTGCCACCATTCGGGTGTGGATCCCCCGGCACAAGTACCAGAAATCCCATGTCACAGTTAGGGCTCCTGAATACAGCTGGGGAGGGGATGTAAAATAACGAAGGATTGCGTCCCACATTGGGACAGGGATTATTTAGTGGCAGACAAGTGGACATTCTAGTAACCTTGTGATATCGATAACTTCAATTCCTCTCTCATTTCTGCTGTATTAACTGAAAATTCAACAACCTTGTGATTACAACATTTCAGTGTGGATGACAACAAAGCTTATCCAATATACCCTATTCAACCTCTAAAACAATTACAATTGAGACATCTGCACTACGCGTGTAATGATAATTGTCTGGTTATTATTATAAGCCTAGACAAATTACTACTGATATTATAGGTATTAACCTGGAGTGGAGTAAAGCAATACATCATTTTCAAGCGTGGCTGATGAGGACCATGATCCTGGACTTGTTAGACCTATCGGTACTCGATGCCCAAGACTTTACGAGGTAGCCATTTTAGGATGATTCGATCTTGGATCCAATATCATTTTTGAAAAACAATTTGACTAGATGCGGGTTTGAACCTCTGACCTTCGGGCCTACAGGCCAGCGTATGGGCGTTAGGGCACCGCTGCTGACATTAACCTGGAGTGACGCTCATAGGGGAATGTGGAGGTTGAGATGCTAAGTGCTGTCGATAAAGAAACATAACAAACATAACTACCTGTCGTATTCACAGCTCATTTCATGAATGAAAGGAAGTTCCATCTCTGAATCCCCGATTATTGGATCTTCCTCGTCTGAAATTAGAAATGAAACATCTTACAGACTTCATGATTACAATCAGAGACATCTAGAGTATAATTTATCAACTGGTTAAATTAATGGACAGAGACAGCGTGTATATAGGCGACTTTTCGCAATTTTTGCATTATTTTGTTAAATGCCTAATAATTGACACCTACTGCTTGAAGACATGCTATACAAGTGGTTCTCAACCTGCCGGTCGCGACCCCTTTTTTGGGTCGAACGACCCTTTAACAGGGGTCGCCTAAGACCATAGGAAAAAACATATTTATTGAAGTTATGAAGGAAAGTAATTGTTTGGGGGTCATCACAACATGAAGGAAGGGCAGTAAAGGTCGCGGCATTAGAAAGGTTGAGAGCCACTGATCTGAAGGCCACGGGTTTAAACTGGAGCGGAGTCGGACATTTTTTTTCAAAATTGACCCCTTGTCTGAAGGCGTGAATGAGATCCTTCTATTTTGCTTCAATATATACATTAAAGCGTGCGTGCGTGCGTGCCTGTGTATGTGTGTCTGTAGGCTGTCAGATTTGCTAAGACTGCAGTCTATGTCATTTCTTTTCCCGAAGGGTAGTGGTGGATATTCTGTGCAGTTTTCGTTGGCACAGGAACGAATTAACGATGTTGTGACCCAGTTTGCTATGAAGTTGGGTCTTTGATCGCCTAATTTCCTGATAACAATGAAGATTACGACGAAGATGAAGATTGGGATGATGATGATGATGACACGGTCAGTGAAAAGAGCAATAAATTACTGAGAATTTATATGGGTTATGCTTTCAACAATGCATTAAGTTTAGGAACAGTTGTTAAGAAATGCTTATTAACCTACAAAGTAAACCGGCAACATTATTGATACAGGCACTGAGGTACGTTTGTGGAAACAAATTGACACGGACCGTGTTGCCTGAGAGGCCAAACCATGAAGGGAATGAGAATGAAGCAAGATATAATTGTAACATGATGAGAGCTGAGCGTCTGAGAAAAAACCAACTAAACACAAAGAATGTCGACAATGCTCTTAAAATCTCACGCTCTAATAGTGAAAGACTGTTCATAACGCCGGCGGGTCTTGCTAGTCACACTCGCCATCGCCACGGGCTGTGAGTTACCATACCTCTTCATAGCGCAGTTTAACACTTCTTATTCTTATTCTTTTCTCTACCCCTGGCATGCCTCGTGGCGTCAGGGCAAGAAAAGGTCTCTGGAACGGGTCTTTAGTTCGCTTTGTATGTACCTTTCAGAGTCTCTGATAATTCTGCGATCCATTTTCTGCGTGGTCGACCTCTGGGCCTGTTACCGCGGTATCTGAATACCATTGGTCTATGTGGTCCACTGACTCATGCCAGTCTTGTTACATAACCAAACCATTTGATTTGTTGTCTACCAATAAAATTCAGTATTGATTCTGTGCCGACTCTCCTCCTGATATCATCCTTCCTAAGTCGATCTTTACGTCTAACGTAGTACGTAAACATTTCATTTCTGTTGTGACTGTTTTCCTCCTATCTTCTGAAGACAGTGTCCATGTCATAGCATTAATTTTGATACTGGTGGTTCTTCGTGTTCTGGATAATGTCATCACTTTTGTTTTGTTTACTTCATATCATAGCCGTCGCATTCTGAGCGGCTTCTATTGATATGTTTCCGTAGTTATACTGCTCTTGGTATTATGATTGCCTGCATTAAACACTATGGTCTGGAAAGACGGAAAGGTGCGAACAAATACAGGCAGCAATAATAATTAACCATTCTAGCGTCCCCCACACCCCCCCCCCCCCAATTTCATAAAGGCAGTGTTATATAATAATGTTATTTACCCTAATCTTTGTAAAATACCATATCTCATTTCTGCACACTAATTCAATATGGGAGAAAAAAAAACGTTACCGCCGAACTTCATTGCCACAACTGCAATGCGATAAACATTGAGGGCAGATTCACCCAAGTGGTTTTAATAAATCTAGCCAATATTAAAGACAGATTAAATTAGGAAAGTATTGTGAATTTAATTTCTCTATGATTATCATTCTTCAAAATATTACTAAGAAATATTGAGACTATGCGAGGTTGTATAAACAGATTTATATCAATTGACACATCAAGAAAGCCGACCGTCCTGAAAGCAATGGCAAACTACTGGACGTATATTTGCCTAGAAAACCCCAACAACAGCCAGGGGCTGTTGGGGTTTGTTCTGCAACATCCTGTAAAGGATACGCAACTAACCTAACCATTAATTGACACTGTAACAGACATTTATTTATTATTTATCCGACAAGCGGACAGAAGACTGATGTTCTTATCCGGTGACTTCTGTAGTAGGTTTTGTTCCCAACGTATTGGTGTTACTTTTCTTTTAAAATTAACAAGGATACAGAGGGAAGGTCCATGCTGCATGGGGGAACACATGTCCTCTGCGGTACTCCCCACACTTTGCGCTACAATGTTGTGGCGAGACGTGATATTACGTTTGTAATTGCTGTTTACACTTTCCGCTCCCAAAACAAATGCATTCTTTTACTATTTATGATCAATTTTGCCTATTTAGTACAAATACTCTACTTGGTTTACGTCTCAAACACAGCCGCCAAACGAACGCTCGCTGCATATTTACGCCACTCAAGCAGAAACTGTAACGTGTAAATTCTATCAGTTAATAGTATTAAGATACCAGCTACGCAGGCATACTATCAACAGCGAAGCGACAAGGAGGAAAATATCACTTGCTAATCCCTCCAGTTAAAAAGACTACCTGCTAACGCTTACGCATGCGAATTGATCAAGCTTCGTCACTGCTACAGAGAGGAGGGACATCTGGTCTTGGTGTTACAACCAAATCGAGAGGTATGATTCTGAAATCTAAGGCATTTACTGAAACGTAAAGAAAATGGATTTAAATAGAAAAAAAAAAAAAAACAATTCACGGAAATAACTGGTTAGCAGTATAGGGAGGGAAGAACGTTCATTATCAGGACACCCTGTGAGAGGAGAAGAGCTAGAGTGAGTCCTTACAAAAGGAACTTTGGAGAGGTAGCGAGAAAGAATGATGCCGTGATCTTTGGTGGTTTAGTGCTCACCTGCCAGCCAGAAGTTCTGGTGTTGAAATCCGCATCGAAAGTTAGCCTAGCCTAATAGGAATACCAGACAGGTTCTGGGAAGGAAAGGCGACCGGCGTGGTGTTAATCACATCAACCACCGGAGTAGATACTATTACGATTCTAACATCATATGACCAGTATACCACAAGAGTTGAATGGATCCTTTACTTTCTCACTTTAGAGCAGTGGTCTCCAACCTCGGGGCGAGCCTCAGGTTTCAAAAAGGGGGCGGGGGGCGTCAAGCAGTTTTGAAAGTGAGTGCGTTTGTACTTGTAATAATCCGCTACACTAACATTTTGTTTTAGTGTATCTAAAATAAAAAAAATATGTTTTAAAAGTACTATATTTATCAGACAAATCGATATGGACATTTTTGTTTCCATGAGCAGTTTGTAGATCAACCGTTAAAAATCTAATTTTGACCAAAACGTATCTCCATACTTTCTGTTTTCCTTGATGCGGAAGCTTCCCCCCCCCCCCCCCAACCTTTTCCCCCTTCTATTTAATCATATTTTGTTGCGGGGGGGGGGGGGGGGGGAGGGGAAGGATGTTGCCATATAGTCAAGGAAAGAAAATCTTGCTATAACTCGAGGGGGATAATTGCCATACAGTCAAGGGCAGGAGGCGTAGGAATCTTGCTATATACACGGGGGGGGGGGGGGGGGGGGGGGGGGGGGGGAGACAGGGTTGGAGGGACAAATGCTTTGAAGAGTCAGACGAAGAGCAAAATAATCGATTCTAGTTCGGGATTACGGCATTGAGGGAAGAGCTATATGACAGTTAGTGGCATTTCCATACAACAGCCGACTGTGGACAAATCTGACGACCAAAGACACAACAACCCATTACAGAATGTTTGTGAATTTTCACTACACTTTGTATGCAAAACAAAATGTGAAAAACAAAGTACACGATGCCATCAACAAGTGTGCTTAAAAACGTTACTAAATTTTTTTTGCAATATTTACTGTTGTGGTCTAATGCTATTCTGGGAAAGCTTGAAATTACCAGTGAAACATACCTGTAATCGGTGTTGGAAATGTCTCCCTCGGGCTTCAAGACAGGACTGTACACGCTCTTTATAATTTCAAATACCTTCTGCAACGTATTTTTTTTTTTCTTGAATGGTAAATATGATTGCTTCCTTTAGTTCTTCATTTGTGTGTACATTATTTTTGTAAACACACCCATTCAAGAAACCCCATAGATAATATTCTAATGCAGTTAGATCTGGAGAACCAGCAAGTCAAATTCCACGTCATATTATGCGATCTGGGAAAAATTTGGAAGCACTTGTTTTTCTTTCTTCCTTTGATAACACCATTCTGTTTTGAGTGTAAAAAACTACTCCAGCAAACGACAGCCATTCGCTGCATGTTGCTTCATGACTGACTGTGGACTAGATGAGATCATATACTTCATTTTTCAAATTTACTCTACATACAACGTTTAGTGAGGCTTTACAAACATCCCGTACTGTTAGAAAAAGAATAGTTTAACTAAGTTTTCTTCTTCTTTTGTCCTACTATTTATGCCATGAAGCATCGCACAGAGGAGTTAGATGTAGTTTCGTGTCTTTTACTACTTTCTTAGTGTTATTGTCATACTGCGCTACCACGGAGTCTCTTTTACTCCCTCCACTCATCTCTTTCTTGACTGGTCTCTTGACTTGCAATCTGCTGCTCTCACGTGGTACCCTCTAGTTGAAGACTGATTGTGTTCTATTCTGACGCAATGGCCAAACCATTTGATTCTCTGACCTTCTGTGAAATCATTTACCATTGTTGTTAGATCAAGTAAGTACCTGCACGAATCTGTTTCCTACAAGGCAGCGGCCATGTCTTGATCTGTCTTCGCTTGATGACTGGAGAGCCTTTCTCCCCGAGGCCTGGCTTGGCGGGTGCGCTAATAGTACCCGTTAGTGGACTTCTACGAGGATGTAAAACATGATATCTTTAATGGTCAGAAGACAATGGTCAATTCATGTGATAAGTTTGTAACAAGCGAATAGTCATATACTGATTTGTTTCTGGAAAAAGAGAAGGTAGAGTATGCTAGAAACAGCATTTGTAAGAAAATTTCTTTTGACAATTACTATTTTAGTTTTCAATAGTTTGTATGTATTCGAATTAGTTAAGTCAATGACATATGTTTCACAAAGGAGTATCTGTAATGGAATTAGATAAGATTGAGCCTTTTCGTAAGTGTTTTCTTTAACAGAATTAGTTGAGTCAATTATACACGCTTCGCTGAGCGTGTTCAGTTAGCGATGTTTTTTTTTCCGTGACGTTAATTAAGACAAATATTAATTTGTAGTATTATCTGTTGGGGAGTTACTTCAGACATAATAAAGCTTTGGAATCAGGGGGGCTTACAACTTTAGGAGGGGCACGGAGTGAGTGACTTTCCACCTCACCAAGACTGCTGGACGAGCAACCAACACCAGGTGACACAAATTGCCACCATTGGAAAGAGGGTCAGCCGGGTTAAATTCCCAGAAGCCCCGTTTAACCGTCAGGTTATATTAGGGGCCCCCGAGAACATCTGGTGGAGCTTTGAAATAACAAAAAAAAATGCGCCCTATATTGAGGCAGAAGACGGGACGAACGAATGAACAAATAAACGAAAGAAACAAACTTTCTTTTCAAAGAGTAGGAATTTGGTACACAGGTCCGTTTTACATTCTGTATTTATGAAGTCACTCAGTGCATACATTATTCTATTCACATCGCTTTAGCAGATAAAAATATTTATTATAATAAAGATAATAATACATCAACAAGACATCTTAGTTAAAATGTACTCTAAGTATACCTACATTTTCTAAAAATTTTAATACTAAGTATAATCTTCTCCTTGGCGTTCACCAGCTGTAAACTCCAGCGGAAAGTTCTGGGTATTCGGCCGAAACAGCTCTCACATGGACCCCAGAGGGAAAGAGAAAATAGGGGCGCCCAAAAACAACATGGAGACGAACGATGGAAAGTAACCTGAGTGCGGCATCTTTGACATGGAAAACTGCATTGAAGATTGCACAGGTCAGGAAAGCATGGAAAGCCCTCTCTGAAGCCTCATGTGCCACTAGGCATAACGAGAACTGATGATGATGATTAGTCCACCTCCGGACTTTAGTCTTGTTCCAGAACCTGAGTGAGGGAGACTGAGACCTCTACTTAAAATATTAAGGGGACAGTCACCACCCCCCCCCCCCCACCCCGCAAACCAATCCCAGCCATGTACAGTTCTCCTTTTTAAGTATGTTGTTACACATTCCACTGTATTTAAAAAAAATATTGTATTCACTTTTCATTTAACAAAATAAAATAATATAATTGCGCACTTATGAACTAGGCTAAGCCACAGCGCCTGCCCCCTCCGTTGAGCTTACCCCATTTCGCGCTAGAAAATTTATAATAGTACTGAGGTCCAAGTCGGCTCTGGCTAAGTCGATGCGAACGCTTCGTAAGGCCGGTGTGCCGGGTTCGATCCCAGCTGATGGCCATGCGCCTTGCCTTGGTTTCGACAGTGGTATCAGGGGGCCGACCGACCAAAAAGCAATGGCAAACTACTGGACATAAATTTGCCTAGAGAAACCACACAACACTCAGGTTCTGCTAGGGTTGGTTCTGCAACGTCCTGTAAAGGAAACGGAACTAACAAATAAAAAAAAAAAAACTAAGGTTCCATCCCTCCATGCGTTTTTGGTTTTTGTACACTCCCTCTATTTTCTGTGTGGGTGATCCTGCAATCAAATGTTTATTTCGTTCGAATCCTCTTGTGTCGCTTGGCAATCAAATTTATGTACGTGGGCAGGTTAGTTGTATCCCCACAAGGACATCACACAAGCGATAAATAAACACCCGGTGACACAAAGTGCCACCATGCGGATGAGGATACCCGGTAGGGAAGTCCCCGAAACCCCGTCAGCCGTTAGGCCATATTCAAGGTCCGGCCATATTTAGGGCCCGGGGCGGGAAAAGGGGGGGGGGGGGGGGGGTTTCTTCAAAATAAGTAAAAATTGCATCCACATGAGGATGCCGGGTAGGCTTGATATCATTTATGCACGTAAGCCGTCCACACATCTGAGCTATCCTAAAGAAACAGGCATTGATTTTTGCTTGGAAGCAGACGTCGTTGATGTAATCTCGTCACTTCCAAATACCTAACACTTCACATCCCTACGAGAGTATCTCCCCTTCCCTTTTCCTTCCCCTTCCCCCTCCACAAATGTGATGTCAGTTTCTCTCAAGTTTTGAACCCTCAGTGACCAGATCAGACAGGATTAGGAGCCTTTTAAAAACTAATCCAAATTGAAACTTTAAGAAGGGTTTAATTAGTAATAGTCAGCGAGGAAAATAAAAAAGAAACTTCTCATATTAAGTATGGAAGTGTCAGAAGCTGGTGTTCCTCTTCGTGAAAATCTAACTTTAAAACAACATAAAAACAACAAAAACAGTAGGAAAGACAACATAAAAGAAAAGAAACACAAGATAACTCATTAAAAACGGAATGAAAACAGCGGGAAACATTATAAAAACAGTAGGAAAACACAATAAACAATTGAAAACCTACTAAAGTAGATTCTAAAGAATAAATCAATTTTAAAAAAAAAGCATAATAACTACTTAAATTTTACCATCTCTCTCTCTCTCTCTCTCTCTCTCTCTCTCTCTCTCTCTCTCTCTCTCTCTCTCTCTCTCTCTCTCTCTCCCCTTTCCATCTCTTTCTTAAAAAGAAATTAAAACAAATAAAGACACAGTATAACCTAACATAAAACATAAGCAAACACAATAACAACGAAAACAATAAAAACACAACAAAAACAATTTTTGAAGGAAAAAAGCAAAACCCGAAATCTTTAAAAAAAAAAAAATGAGAGAGAAACAACAAAATAAAAGTAAAAGAAGAGTTAAAACAAATAACAGAAAATAGCAGTGGATCTTGCGAACACTGACCTGCCTGGACTAAGCTGTCCGGTTTTCTGTAACAGCTTCATGTACTTGTTTCTGGACTGTCTCAGCTGCTGACTTCTGGACAGTGCTCTTGTAAATGGCGTCATGATTGCTGTTTTCGGTGTGTGGTTTTGATTCAGTTTCAACGGATTTGCTGCAAAATATGATCTGGGTTCCACAGGCATAACCTGGTCGGCGAATTCTATGTTTATATTTACAACTGGCCTCTTGTGGCAGATGACGTTATGTGAAGGTCGTTCAAGATGTCTGGATGTTGGGGATGTTGAGCTGCCTTCTCTGTCGCTTGCTGCAATAGCAGTAGCAGACTTGGATGTTCCCAAGGCACAACTACGAGATAGGTAGCCTTCGGCACGCTTTAACTCCGGGTGGTAATTATTAACATGGCTAATTATCAGATAGTCCTCTTTGATGTCCTCTGTCCGCAGACCGCGCCCATTGAGGCTGGCTGCTGCACCTTCGCCATCAGATCTATCTGTTCCATCAGCAGCTTCGCTGGCCGGAGACACTTCATATCTTCGTTTGGACTGCAGCCACTGTCTGATCCTGGCAGCTATGTTGGCTATGATGCCCGTCTCTCTGCCTCGATGGCTTCGTGAGCTGGATGTGCTGCCTCCCCTGTTTAGACTCAGTCCCAGCCGACAACCCGTGGGCTCTTTCAGACTAAAACTTCGGCACATGCGGATGCATCTTTTATGACGTAACCCATTTGTCTCTGTGCTTACTTGTAGAATTTTGGACCAGTGAGAATCCCCTGTAAAAGAAAACGACAGCATCATGACTTAGGCATACGACGGTACGTTAATTTAAGCATACCGGTTAACTCAGGATGTAGACATACTGATTATGTCACGACTTAGACATACTGATTAAGTCACGACTTAGACATTCTGATTAATTCACGATTTAGACATATTTATTCAGTCAGGATTAAGACTGATTGATTTCTGATTTAGGTCAGAAGACACCGGGTATACCCACAGATGCTCCGTCTCCAGCAGCAAATGTCATAATATTTTGTTGCTGACTGTTCCAACGGCACACTGATTATACAACGTCTTTCTCTTCCTCTCGTAAGTCCCTCCCTCTTGTTAATTTAAAGATCATCATCGCTCAATGGGCATAACCATAAGTGGTCCGATCTCCTCCTGAGTATGTCTCTAAGTGTTTGTAGGCTGACAACTCCCATTCTATTCAGGTTTATATAAACGAGGAATGACTCCCGTATGGTTTTCTTGTCTCGCTGCTCCAAATGGTACACCCAGGGTATGCAGTCTATTAAGTGAAGAATTATCTTCCAAGTAAGTGAAACCCTCACAACGTTTACCCTCTCTTATGGCACTGATGATGTCTCTCCTGTCCATAGTTGTCTTACTCTTGATAGTCGTACTGCCAGCCAGTGTGCCTGCTCTTTGATTTCCGTCCACACCAGCATATCCTGGTTCAAAAATGAAGGTGATTTTGAGAATCGCTTAGTGTTGCATCAGATGGATCCACTGTTCGGTTGATACCCACCTTGATCTTCTGTAGAATGCTTATTAAGTCGCTGAGCCAGCATGCATTCACGGTTTCATTAGTCGTCGTATAAAATTAAATTGTAGATGACTGTTGCTAAAGATAATTAGCTGAACTCGGTTATACAATAAATTGTATGATAAGATATACATACAATATAAATATTGTAATAATAATTATAGAAAGGAAATAGTATAGAAAGGTTGTTTTCATTTTTTTTTTTTTAATTTTATTTATATCTGGTCAATAGATACTGCAAAAAGCTGGCCTCCCAAATGATCACTACCACCGTGTATACTGCCACTTTGACTTTGAATGTAATTAATTCTTCTTCTTCGCGTACACCAGTTGTAAACTCTGGAGGAAATTTCTCATTGTTCATTTACTTCTGGACTTTAGTCCTGTTCCAGAGCCTGCATATCCCTTTAACTGATCTGATTCATTTGTTTGCTGGTTCCTTGCCTCTCAGTCAGATGAACTCCGACCACGAAGGAAGCTCCCAATAAGTCGACTCTTATGACATGCTTGCTGGGTAGGCAGTGGACCTATTCTTCTTTGCCCCACATTGGGGCCTCTGAACCGAAATGGGGAGTAATTATTTCATCAGGGTCGGGTTCTAAAAAGGACGTATGGATTAAAATGAGCAGCGTAAAGAGGTTATCTCCTTTTACTAAAAGAGTTTTAAACACGGGGATTAATTCTAAATCTGCCAATAGGACAAGACCAGAAAGATTTTCAGTTACTCCCCCGTTAACGTGAATTCCAAGAGGCCGAAAATCGAGTTCGTGTTAACAAAACGTGTGTTCTAACCAGAGATCAAAAACGAAATACATCAGTGCAGAACCCTCAATGTAAAAATAGCATACGTTGATAATTATAACTGTACGTATGAAACCGAGCATTGAATGTGTATACTGGTAATTCGGCCATTTATTTATGGCGCTACGCAGCATTTGTATTATTGTATTATAACTAGAATGTCTTTGCACTGAAACCCACAGGGGTATATAAACAAAGGAAGACCCAAAAACAACACACATAGAAAAGAGCTAGAGACTGAAGTTAACAAAGATGGGGAGGACATTTGGGAGAGCTGCAGGCAAAAGCTAAGGATAGAATCACTTGACGTGAGTTGGGGAGGACCCAGCATCCATTGGGGGTTAGAAAGGCAGAAGAAGAAGCTACTGAATTACATATATTTGGATTAGTTAGTTAGTTAGTTAGTTAGTTAGTTAGTTAGTTAGTTAGTTAGTTAGTTAGTTAGTTAGTTAGTTAGTTAGTTAGTTAGTTAGTTAGTTAGTTAGTTAGTAAGTTAGTTAGTTAGTTAGTTAGTTAGTTAGTTAGTTAGTTAGTTAGTTAGTTAGTTAGTTAGTTAGTTTAGTTAGTTAGTTTAGTTAGTTTAGTTAGTTTAGTTAGTTAGTTAGTTAGTTAGTTAGTTAGTTAGTTAGTTAGTTAGTTAGTTAGTTAGTTAGTTAGTTAGTTAGTTAGTTAGTTTAGTTAGTTTAGTTAGTTAGTTAGTTAGTTAGTTAGTTAGTTAGTTAGTTAGTTAGTTAGTTAGTTAGTTAGTTAGTAGTTAGTTAGTTAGTTAGTTAGTTAGTTAGTTAGTTAGTTAGTTAGTTAGTTAGTTAGTTAGTTTAGTTAGTTTAGTTAGTTAGTTAGTTAGTTAGTTAGTTAGTTAGTTAGTTAGTTAGTTTAGTTAGTTTAGTTAGTTAGTTAGTTAGTTAGTTAGTTAGTTAGTTAGTTAGTTAGTTAGTTAGTTAGTTAGTTAGTTAGTTAGTTAGTTAGTTAGTTAGTTAGTTAGTTAGTTAGTTAGTTAGTTAGTTAGTTAGTTAGTTAGTTAGTTATTCGACAGATTATCCTCAATGTACGTCGAACCACTCAGTCCATAAGTGCTCGGAACCCCTCCTCGGCAAATTTCGCAGCGTGTAGCGGCTAACAAAACTAGTTCTGTGTTGGTTTATTATTCTTCTTTGACAACCCGCGTAGTGTTCTTGTTTAGCGACACCTTGTTTAACGTGTTGTTCTTGCAGTCTGACCGTGGTTGCAGATTCACAGTTCTCAGTTGGTTCACGCAAACGTCTTAACTCTCTTAAAGCATTCGGTATATCAGCCTGGTCTATGGCTTGTCAGGCTTTCACAGTAGCCTTACATGCAAGCCCGTCAGCTTGCTCATTTCCTTGCACCCCCACATGTCCTGGAACGAAAATGAAACTGATCATTGTCAGCCATGAATTCTGTAGAGCCACCAACCACTGACTTCGGACTTATTTTAGGATGAATACTAGCACCTTTTGAGAAGACAGCCGCTTTAACGCAGTCGATAGGAGGTTCGCTTTCAAATACAGCTGCGACTCGCTGCAGCCACGGTCAGTGTTGGAAACCGGACGGTTCCCGTGGTTCACCCAGCCTCTAGGAAATGGGTACCAGAGTGACTTGCTGGGGTAAATGGAGGAATGTCGCTGTAGCTACAGAGTTACGTGCGGACGGCGACATGTGTGGCAGACAGTTTCTTATTAGCTGTCCGTACTGGTGGCAGAGCACTTATGGTTTATGACCGTGTGCAATGACGCTGGTTTACATCTCCCGACTTTACCCTTATCTTTACCTTTTGATAAATTTTATGGTGATTATTAGCACCTTTTTGCTCAAAGAAACAGTCCTTTCTTTAATAGTGACTAACCACAAAACAACACACCAGATTGGTTAAATCCGATGTAAGGCTGACAACTTACCTCCTTTCCTTCTCTTCTCCTCCATTTCTGCCTTCCGTCTCTTCTTTCTGCTCCTGTGGTGAATACATACAAAAGGCAATATCGCAAACTGACACTTAACGGAAACTAAACGTGTTGTGAAATGGATGACTGCTGAACTTTCTTAGCATGAGCTCTCGTCTGCCGGACGCTAGTTACATTCCCTAATGCATTCGTTTCTGTTAGAGCTTTCTACGTTCGGGTACGTCAGTGTAGGTCGGACACGGAATCAATAAGCGGTTATATACCTCAAAACGATGGTTACTGAAGTTTCAGTTCTAGTACTGTTGCTTGCTTGTGTGTGAGTGGTTGTCAAAGGAAGGGAGTTTCGAGAGTTGGGGGGGGGGGGGGGGGTGTCCGGAATATAAAGTGGAATTAGGAAATGTTAGAGTCCTGTGCGTGACCACATCACGAGTGTCGATTTCTCCATGAGTACAGGTCTTGAACCATATGCCGGATATTGCTCGACCTATTCTGCTTTTAATCCATCCATTTTCTATCTGATTATATGATTGTTCCCAGATAATTGAATTTATTGACTTGGTTAAGTCCTTTTCCTTCAATTGAGATATCACAACGTGGAATTATCTTCTTCTTTGATTTAACCATTACTTCCGTTTTTTCTTAATATTCAGTGAAAGACCTTTCTTAGTACTCTCCATCCCCACAATATCCAGCAGTTGTAAATAAGTTGCATTTCAGCTAATAAAACTGTATCGTCTGCATAACGTAAATTGTTTATATTGTATCCTCCAAGTCTTACCCCTGCATTCTCTTTAATTTCCCTCAAAATTAGTTCACTATATAGAGAGAAAAGTTCTGGGAATAGGACACACCCCTGACTTGCTCCTTGCTTTATCTGTTCAAAAGTACTCAATTTGTTTCCCACTTTAATTGCTGCTACTTGGTTCCAGTAAAAGTGTTAAATTTTTCTGAAATCTGTCCCGCCTACATTGATGTCTTCCAACATTTTTATCATCTCCTCACATCGGGAGTGAGTTGAATGAAAGCGTACAAAACGATTTGCAGGTTGTAATTTACAGCGTTACAACTCTTTGCTTCCCCCTGTTGGTCTCGGCAACGCAACGAACGCTCCTGCCTTCTACATGATATAATATGGAGCCTAGTTTTATGTGTTTTTGTCTGCTGACATTATAATAAAGCAATTAGGATACGCATAAGCGATTAAGAATGCAGGACTTTTATTCTGCAGACCCAGGTCCAAATATTTGATAGAAGATAATAGATAATTTTCTGCATGCAGCAGAAAATAGAACCCTAATCTGCACAGCATTTCTTCGACGTCACTTTTTCCAATAATGGACCTTTTACTTTCAGTCTCTTGTTCCCTTTTCCACATTTTTTTTCCTTGTCTGACTGCCTTTATTTCTAATCCCCTGTTGGTTCCAGTTTAAGGGGCAAAGAAGAGACGCTGACTTTGGATAGGATACGTGTTGAGAGAACAAGAGACTAGAATAACTAGAAGATCTTACACTGGAACACCAGGCATAGAAACAGAGTTCGTTGACCAATATTTCGACGAGAGCAATAACATAAACACGTATGCCACTCATCTACCTGCAGGCATGCACGCTATATAGATTCCAACCGGGCAATTCCCTTGATGTTAAAGCGGTAGACAGACAGACTATTAATTCCTTGCAGCAATTAATCCCACACACTTGACAAGATCAATGCTAATACCAGACCTTTCTATCCTGGCGATGTCTTCATCTGTCAGACACAAACAAGTGTCTGAAGGAAGCAAACACGACCTATTGTGGGTAGATATGCAAAACATCTAACTCTTACACTAATTGGTTGTCAGGATAAAAAACAGCAGACATAGTAACATCGTCAGTAATTAATGATTAATATAAAAATGATAGTTGCAAAGTCTTCACAGGACACAGCAGAAGCAACTCCTAGCATTTATGTGATTTTTTAGACATGTTATAGGGGTTAGGGGGGGGGGGGGGAGGGGGACGTAAGCTTTGATGAACAATCGCGTTTTGGTTTCGGAAAAAAAGTGGCACAAAAGGAATTAGCAATGTGTCTCAATTAAAGTTGTTGCGTGAAAAGAATATATAGAAATTCAAATAAGTATTTATGTACGTTTTATAGATCACGAGAACGCCTTTCGTCGGGTAGTTATTGCATAACTTCAAATTATAAGATTGCATGGAAATGATTTCAGAATTATTAGTAACCTTTACTGGGAGCAAACGCAACAGTTAACCACAACAAAATCGTCTCAACACTGATAGACATTTAAAACATAATTAACATGTCAGTAATGTATGTCACCCCCAAGATGTGTCAATTTACATACAGTTAACATTTTAAAACACGTTCCGTACTGAATATTCATAAAAGAATAATACAGTGTCATGGTGAAGGAGAAAGTGAGCAGGATTTGTAGGAGCTAGTGGATCAAGTTACCAGGCCGAGTATAGAGGATGGATAAAACAATAACATTGAAATAAACAAAAATTATGGCAATGAAAAAAGAGCTGGAAAAGAGCAGCAGACAGTGAACATTACAGTAAACGGAGAGGTAGTAGTAATTTTTCCTATCTTGCACACGTAATAACAGATGATGACATAACTGAAACAGAAATCAAAAAGAGAATCGGAATGACCAAAATTATCTTCAATAATATGCGAAAATTATTGACAGCTAGAGATATAAGCAACATATTACAAATGAGAATCTCAAATACTATTATATACAACGTTGCAGTGTGGTGGAGACACATAGAAAACGAAAAGGCAAACAGAAAATCGAACTGAATCTCTAGAATTGTGGATACACAGAAGAATAGGTCGCATTTCATGGAAACAGGAAAAAGTTTCCCAAAAAAAAGAAGTCCACAATTAACTTCGCTACAAGTCCACTGTCAACGTCACTTCAAATCTATTATCAACTTCACCTCAAGTCCACCATCAACTTCACTACAAGTCCAACAACAACATCACTACAAGCTCACCACCAACATTACTACAAGTCCCCTACCAACTTCAGTTAGACTATCAACTTTACTTCAAGTTCACTATCAACTTTAAGTCCACTATCAACTTCACTACAAATTCCACTATCAACTTCACTACAAGTCCACTATCAGTTTGACTACAAGTCCATTAGCAACGTTAATAGAAGTTCACTATCAATTTCAAGTCAATTATTAACTTTAATACAAATCTACAATTAGCTTCACTACAAGTTGAGTATCAACTTCATAATAAGTTTGCTATCATCTTCACTACAAGTCCACTATCAACATCAAGTCCATTTTAAACTCTACCACAAGTCCACTATCGACTTCACTACAAGTCCACTATCAACATCACTACAAGTCCACTATCAACTTCACTACAAGTCCACTATCAACTTCACTACAAGTCCACTATCAACATCACTACAAGTCCACTATCAGCTTCACTACAAGTCCACTATCAACTTCACTACAAGTCCACTATCAACTTCACTACAAGTTCACTGTCAACTTTACCACATGCCCACTATCAACTTCACTAAAAGTCCACTATTGGTGTGAAGTCCACTATCAACTTCACTACAAGTTCACTATGAACTTCACTACAAACACTCAAGTCGACAGTAGCAAGAAATAAATCATCATGTTCAGATACTTACGGTGTTCTTCTCAGCGACGTATGCTGGAGATCGATCTCTCCCAGACTACGACCTTGAAAGGGATCTCGTTCAGGTGATGGAGGTCTGGCCGCCATATTTGTGCCCTTGTAGTTTCTACAACTGAACTTCCTTCGAAGAACTCTTTACATTGTGAGGCGTTTAAGGAAAGGTATGCAATATATTTCTACTCATCATAACCCTACACTGGAAACACAATATTCATCTATTGCTGTTAGATGTGGGTTATGCTTTTTTAAAAGTTCAAATAGTTTGTTGTGTTTCTTAAACAATTAATTATTGGAATTTAGTTTTGTTCATCGAGATAACGAAATAACCCCCCGGAAAAGTTTATATCAAATAATAATTCAGTTTTCCATTTTTCGATTGCCCATTGTAAGTCAATAAGTTCAAATATCTGAGAACAACCATATCATTTGATGGAAAATGAGTGACATTAATTTAAATCAAAATTGGTCAAGCGAAGGCAGCATTTCAGAAAATAAAAAATAGCGTATGCAATAAGTGGCTCTCTTTTAATGTCAGAAAGAGAGTGCAAAAATATTACATAGAACAAGTTCTACTGTATGGCAGCGAATCTTGGAATGAACAAATTCAGAAGAATTTGGAAGCATCAGAGATGTGGTTTCTGAGAAGAATGTTACAAATACCTTGGATGGCCATAGTAACTAACAACGATTGCTTGGAAGGAGACAAACACTGTTCTCTGGCAACGTAATGAGAAGAGGGGCATTGGAAAACATCGTGACAACTGGAATGTTCAGACCAAGAGAGATTTTGATGAATGGGCTAAAACGATGGCATGGAGGGATATCATCAAGAGAGCTGTTCCAAGTAACCAGAGATCGCCATCTATGGAGACGCATGAGCGTCTTCGTCAGTTTTCAGGGCACAACATGATGATGATGATGATGATATTGTATTGTCTTATTGTGGCATTCTATCTCCTTTTGCGTCAATTCATTCACTGCTCCGGTTATCATGGTCGACAAGGTGCGGGTTCGCATTACTGTTCCTTTACTTCCATATTTTGTTTAAGATCCACATTTCTACAGCATTGACATAAACAAACGTAATCTCATAGAGTGCCTTTAGGGTGAATGAACTGATGGTTTAGATTTGGCCACAAATCTGAAAGCAAACAAAATCAATAAGTGTTATAGCATTTTTATAAATCATTACAGTTCTCATACAGTATAACATTAGAAAAAGCGTACAGTTCTTTATATATATATAATTATAGCAGTAACAATACATTGTTTTATTAGTTAGTTTTCTTTTCAGGGCGCCCGCAGTGAACTGAAGCCTTTTACTGTTTGTTGTGTGTTCAATTTCGGACCCAAAACATTCAGTTCGCAA